CAGAGGAGGGAGAGACCAGACCAAGTACTAAACTGGAACAAAAGCAAACAAAGAACAAACCCTGCCTTTGAAAGGAGCTTGATTTTTGGGTTCCTAAATATCAACTATGATTGACAGGGATATTTAATCAGCCTTACCCCTGGATCTTAAGGGTGAGAGGAGGGTATCAGGGATAGCAGGAGGTATGTGTAGATATTGTAACAGTGCTAAGGAGATGCAGATTACTGGGGATTGTGTTAAGCATTATGAGATACTCTAATTTGTCTGGAATAGGCTGCAGGACAAGTGGAAGTGATGACAGCAGCACCCAGGTATTCCAGGGTGTGAGTGGCCACAAATTCCTCTGTTGAAGTGACAGAATTCTCCATTCCAGACATGAGGAAAATCTTACAGAGAAACTCTCCAGGTTCAGTAAGATAAATAACTGCCTTAAATAGAGGAGAAAGAGATTTCAAAGTGTGGAAAAAGGGCCACCAGCCGTCATAGAGGTCAAAATGGGATGGGATGAAGTGCAAATTGCCAAACACACCTGAGACACAACAGAAAAGGATACTAAAACAAATACAGAAAGTTCTTTAGTGGTATAGAAAGAGAAATTACTCTGCTGTGCAGTGAGAATTTTACAAGGGTTAAGGATACAAAATGTGACACCAAAACTAAATGATTACTTGGATTAAGTTTTCATTAACAACTGTGGCACTAATGATGAGGTAAAGTAACACAGCCAATGGGAAATAGAAAAAGAGAAGTTTTACTACTAAAAAACTACAGCTCTGGTAATGCTGAGGATGGGAGAAAATACAGTAGCAGCTGTGTAAATGGATTTTCCAGGGTGTGTAGCAGATTTGTAAATGGATAGGCTCCTTTTTTAATAAGAAGAAATGCAGCTTGTCCCTAAGAAATTCAGGTTTCTTAGGGATCTGTATGGGAAACACAGGCATGCTGCAGGATGGAGGGGTGAACAGAGGGTTTCTGGGGTGGGTGAGCACTCAGGCAGGCAAGAGAAGAGGGAGCACTCACAGAAAGGGCAGTGTCCAGGCAGTGACACCATGCAAAGTATTTGTATTTATGACAAGAGGACAAAATGTAAGCATGTGCTGGTGACATTTTGTGGTTTCTTGAAGTGAAATTTCTGCTAATAAACTAGGAATCTGTTACATGTGTACATGTGTGGGTTCATATATCCCTTATAGGATGCTCACATACAGATAATCTAATCAGCTAAACTAAAAAAAAAGAAAAAAAAAAAAAAAAAGGAAACTTGTCCTAAAAGGCATTAGGGGAAATATTTTCAACTGACTTATTATACACACAGAATCACAACATAAGGTGATAAAGAGACCTTTAGGTGGGATGTTTACTTCTGACTATGGACATTCAGAGCTGAGCTGTAGAGGAGGACTGCTAAAGATAATTGAGTAAAGGGGCATCTGATGCAAAAAAAGCTAAAAGAAATTGTCCTGCTTCATATGAAACACTGAAAGCTTGGGAGAGGACAATCCATAAGAGAGACTGAAAAAACCCTAAACAGCTTTGCTAAAGGCATGAAAATGGGGGTCAAGTGAATACAATTAATATATTTTCCCTGGAAAATGGGAATGAATTCCTAACCCTAAGAGGTGCTGAACTCTGAGAGATCATTAAAAACCTGTATGACTTTTAAGATCGAGCTGGCAGTTTCTGAAATGGTTCATGGAAATGCTGCTACCTACACCAGCAAAGGGCAGGATAAAAGACTGTCAGATGAAAATACAAACATAAGAAAAGATGAGAACATGTTTTTTATATCGGTGAAAGCTGCCAAATCAGTCAGAACAATAATGAACACAATTAATAACTAGGTTTTTTTTGCCCTTAAGTTTGAGGCATTTATGAAGACTGTCAACAGTTATGGTTAATTTAGTTGAAGAGTGTGTCTGAACTTTGTGACACAAGGAAAGAATGATGGATAACATTTCTTTTATCCAAAAATAAAACCAAAAATAATCTGCAATACTGCTGGCTATCATTACCAGCAACAAATCTCTACTTGTGCTTAATTATGTGCTGACATTAAATGCCATCTTGTACACACCCTGCCAGGGTAGGATTGCTCTTCACTTGGCTTGTGCCCGAACAGAGTGCTCTCTCCATGAGTGTGAATGACTGCTAAGCATCCTTTGCAGCATTATTTACTAGCTTCTCCTCCTCACAGGAAAAATACTTGATGGGATAAATTTGCATACTGAATGTGAACCTCATCTGATGTAAAAAATACAAATCCTCACAATTTTTGGTGAAAAACAAAATTCATGAAGCATCAACAAGTCTCCACAAGCAGAATTCCTCAGGCAATTGAAGAATTCCACTCTGCAGAATTCCTCTGCAGGTTTGCAATCTACTTAAACAAGATTCCCTTATAATTTGTATTTTCAAAAAAATCTGTCCATAACGTATTACACCTTCTAAACACTTTGTATAGTATTAATAAGTGGGGCATTCCCTACTTACATCTTTTTTCCTTTCTAACAATGTCTAGTGCACATTTTGTGTTCATAATGTCTAAGTCTCTTTAAAGCCAGAAAAAAAAGTTTTTTCCCTTCATTGACTCCTATGATATGATTTGCTCATAGCTTTTCCTTCTCCAAAAATTCAACATAGATTCCTCCCTTTTGAATTGATACAACACAGCTGGTTATACTGAAAATACCAACACAAGCAGACAGAATGGATGAACTTTAAACTGAAAAAGGAAGACAAAGAAATGTGCATTTCAAAATGTAGATTATGCCTGGACATTCTCTTTATAGTCTTTGTTCAGAACTTCTGCTCTTACATTTTTATTTATTCCTATATGCAGGATCATAATAACACATAGATTCTATCTACAGACAGCAGGTAGAGATACATATGCTTATATTTTCATTAATTCCTCATCTCCTTTTGGGACTGTTCTCTTGTCATGTGCTTTCTATTGTGCACTTTTCCCCTTGTCTAAAGTCTTGTGTAGCCTTTCCTGCTGCTGCTCTCAATCTCTCCTGTTCCCTCTTTAGTCCAGCCATCCTGGCTCTGATCTTTCTTCAAGGCAAAATTTCTTTCCCCTCAATCAAAATCACATTTTACCTGACTCTTCTCTTGTAAATTTGTGTTTTGGCATCATGTCCTGCTCAGAAGTGCTGTCTCCAGGACATTGGCTGTTTTCTGCTTCTTCAAACATGCACCTCACAAGCAGTTGGGACTTAGAAGCTGCTGTTCTTTCTGTCCTGAGTTTCTAAAATTTCTTCCTTCCCTTTTCTTCTATTTCTTCTTCCTATTTCTTGAGATATTTCCTGCATTCTCTTTTGTGGTTTCACTTGGAAAAAACAAAAAAATTCATACAGGATACATGTTTCTGACTGCAAATACATCATTATTAACAAAATTAATTTTCAATGACTTTCAATGTGACATCCAACTTCAGAGGTCTAAAAGGTCTCTTCTGTCTCTTCTAAGGTGAGAAGAATCCACCCTGGTTGTGAAAAAGCTATACTAGTAAGAGAAAAAAATGTTTACAACATTATGTTCCTTCCTTTCTTGTCAGGATTGCTATAATTTAGGTCATAAGGATTATGATATTTAAAAATATCAATAAATATTAATCAATTTATCCCAGCAACTCTGGAAAAAACCCTCTGTGATCTTCAGCAGCTCTTGGTAAAACTCAGGAGACATAATTGTTTAATGGGCTATCCAAACTGTAAAATAGCTCTGTGAAGACAGATGACCATCACAGCCCTACCAGGCTATGTTCCAAGCACAAAGTTCCCCAACTTTGTCTTTCTTGTATATAAAAGGAAAAACCTGCATTTGGAAAATGAGCAAAACATATTAAACTATTCAATTAAGGATAAAATTTATTATAAAATTAAATCACTATCTTTTACATTTTTCTTTGCTTTAGCTCAGTGATATAAGCTTACTTCCTATTTTTTTTGTCCATTATCTGCCTGCTACTCTTCAAAACTTTCTGTTGGAAGAGGAGTTTCCATACAAAATTATTTTAAATTCAGATACTTCATTCTCTTCCCTTCTGCTGCAAGTTAGACTTTGCTGAATGCCTCAGATGAATTTTTACTTATTTTTATCTGCCAGATGATTTTGCAGTAAGTTTTCTGTCTGAAAGACAAGATTGTCAAGAAAGATTATTATTTTAATCTGTCAAGAAAGATTATTTTACCTCTGCCCATTTTTTTCTTTTTTCCCTGCAGTTATAATAGAAAGGCTAAGGTTGGTGTGGGTGCAGAATCCTGGGTGTGCTGCCCTCAGCTGAGAGGGCCTCCCAGAAGGGCTGGTGTTAATGGCATCCAGATTAGTAGTTCATCACGACCCCATCACCTCCACCTGCAGTTTCATGATGTGCTTGGAAAATCCAGCTTGTAGAAAGGAGTTCAGTGCTATACAGTTCTGGGATGTTACGTTTAGCAGTTGTTTCCTTTGCTTTCTAGACCTCATGAGATAGTTCTGGGAGCAGTTCCAAAATGAAGGCTTTGTTTGGGTTCATTAAGAAAGTCTCTGTGTTTCAAAATGTGGTTTTGTTCCCTTATAAAAATTTAAGAAACTCACAGTAACAACCTCAAATCATGCTGCACACAGTACGATTTTCAGAGCTTTCTCTGGGAAGACCTCTGCTTCATTTTCCTGTGACAACCAGATATCAGTGAAGAGCCCAGGCAGTGAATGTTTCTGCAAACTGTTGACACAACTCACAATAGATCTGTCTGCTCACTGTGAAAGTTGCATAAAAATGTTGCAGGAAAAACCTCCAAGCAACAAACACAGTGTGGTTAGTCTTCACTGTAAAATACCCAGGTGAGGAAGATATTATTAGTGAATGCACAGTGAAAATGTACCTTTTATAAAAAAAGTGCAGATTTTTCAAAACCTGTTTCAACACAGGCCTCTCAGGATAGTTAATAAACCTTACAAATAGTTGGAAGGAAATTTAAGTGAGACCCAGGTGGGTGCTTTTTTTGTTCTTACAGGCTAAAATGAGACCTGGCTGACATTCAGCTATCCAGAAATATGAGTGGCCCTCCTGGCTCTCCTTCACTGGGAACAGGTGAGCTGGCAAGAGCCAGGTGTCCACCAGAGGAAAACACAGGGCAGTTGTACAAAGAACTTGGCCAACACTACTTAGAGGAAAAGGGTGAACAAGCAGCTCTGGAGCCTATTCTGTTCTCCTTGGAGAAGATTTAATTCATACCACTGATTACAGCATTTCCAGGCAGCAGAAAGCCTGAAATCAGTATAACCTTTATTTTATCCCACCACTGGTGGTGGTCTCAAATGCCTCTTGTGTGAGATAACCAAAGGCTCTGGGAAGGGCAGCTGGTGGGAGGTCATGCAGTAAAATATGACTAACACAGGTAGAAAACTGTCTGCAAATAGCCCAGAGACAGCAGCAACTGGGTGTAGTATTCTGAATCTAATGCATTTCTAATTGTCACTTATGGGAAATCATGCTGATTGTCTTTTTGGTGAATCTCATCATGTTTTCTGTATTGGGTTTGCATGGCCTGATATTTTTTTGGGGGGGTGGAGAAAGGCACACAGAAATGTTTTCTGTGAGAAGTTGCTGGAAGCTTCCACCATGTCCAGCAGAGCCAGTCCCTGATGGCTCCAAGGATGGATGTGCCGCTGGCCAATTGTCCAATTAGAAACGATGGTAACACCTCTGTGATTGGTATCTGGGCCAATTACCTGTCTATCTTCAATACTGATAAAAACAAAAAGAAGAAATGATTGCTACTGGACTCCTTTTGGGGGACCTAGTCTGGCTGTGATGCTGTGATATTCAAATATTTTCTTTTGATCTTTGCATGCTTTCTTGCAGAGTTCTACAGACATTTGTCCTGACTGATGCTATCCTATGGAAAACAACCAGGACCACCACTTGGGCAGAGCTGGGGCACACTGGCAGCATCTGGGGGGAGGCTATTTCCTGAATTGTATTATCAACCTGGCACTGGATGATTGGTGCCAAATTATTTTAATTGAAAAAGAAAAAGGTCATTTTTCATACCAGTATTCAACCATCAAAAAGGTAAACTCTCGGCTTGTCATTTTGTGCTGAGTGAGCCAATAAAAACATCATCAGCTTTCTGTTGTCCTCGTGGTGCCTTCCTCTTCAGCAAACAGCAGAGCAATGTCCAAACACAAGTCAGTGCTGTGAGGAAAAAGGAAATCTGATTTGAGTGTAATGGTATGTGATTTTTTCTGGAGAGTTTCAGTCCCTGGCAAGATTAAAAATGATTGTGTCTCTACTACAGGACTGCAGAAGGGTTTAAGGGAATTACAAATCAATTTTTTTAAAAGTAGGCTCTTTTACAAAAGGTTTAACAAGCCTGTGATATTTCTGTTATTTTATTCTTATCACATGGTGAAATACTTTTCTGTTAGAGTGGAAATAAGATCTTCTTGTTACCATTTTAGTACTAACTCTCAGTTGGGCTGTCAGTTCAAACAGCAGGGCAAACAAAAGTACAGTGCTGCCTCTGGGAGGTCCCTCATCTGAGAGATATCTGAGGGATTATGAATCAAGTGAACAGATTTACAGAACAAATCAAATCATTTCTCTTAGGAAAATTTCTGTTGTAATCTTTAAAGTCTCTTTCACACAGTGGAAGATCAGGTAGGATTGTAAGATTTGTATATTCTCTCAGTTTTGGCATCTCTTTTTAACAGTAATTTCATTTCATGTTAGAACTTCTTTGAACACCTCATCTCAAATGTCAACAAAGTTTCCCCTGCTAACAGCTCTGTGCTGCCATAAATCATGTGGTTATTGCACTTTGGGGATGTTTGAAGCTCAGTGCCCATGAAGATCCATTTATATAGGAAAAAAGTCCACCATTTTCACAGGCAATCTGACAGATGGATTCTGTCTCCATAGGTATCAAGTAACCACTCCATCACTTCATGATTTACTACAACAGTATTCACCAGGAAAATTTCCCAAAGGGAGGCTTCAATTTTTCACTTCTGAAGCCACACCAGAGGAATTGAATCTGATTTTAGTATTCATGTATTCTCATGAACTGTTCTCTGTATCTTTGTGCTCACAGATAGGCATGAATGAAAATTAAATGAATGAGTACTTATAGAAAAACAGACTGTAATAATAAAGTGGAGGAGGAGGAGGAGGAGAGAAAATTAAAACAGAGAAAACTCTTAGTGATTTCTGGTGGTCTGAGAAAGAATTCTGTGATTCATCACTGAATGTGTTTCCACTGTACCTAGCTTATTTATCTGAATAGAGATTATGAAGAAAATGTTTTCTTAGTTTTAATATTTCAAATCTGTGATCTTCTACTACTGTCCAGACATGTACAATGAAATGTTGACAAAGACAACCTGGACTGAGCTGCAACCTTCAAGTCACAAGTTAATGTGGTGCCATTTGCTGGTCCAGGGATTGTTTTACAATGAGGTGAAGCCTGTGCACGTTGTGAGTGCCCAGCATGGGATGGAGGGTGCTTGGGAGCCCACAGTATTTGGCTCAGAATTGTGACAGCTTGTGATGGTCCTGTGCCCCTCCACAGCTGCTCTTTTGGGAGTTCTGTTCCATGTGAGCATAGGGGATGCTCAGCCACTGACTGCAGAAGGGTGAGGGTTCCTCCCTCCCTGATCCCGTAGGTCAGTGAAGTCACTTGCCGGGCCCACAGGTCCTGTGGGAAATGGTCTTACCCCTGGGAAATTTCTCTTTCTCATGTAGAAGGTAAGTAGCCAGTCCCTTAAAGAATTATCTGGGGTGGGGCAGGCGGGAGAGGGGGGGGAGGTTTGCAATTATTTTATAATACTTGGATATTAATTTAATCTTTTTAGTATCTATGGTGTGTCAGGGCCACCTAACTATCATGGGATGGGTTCAATGTCCCTTGTCATTGCAGAGAAAGACAAGTGTTCTGAATCTGATCTTTTTGCATTGGTGACTGATGTCTTCTAGGACTGTCTTTTTGGAATTTGATTTTTGAAAGCTTGTTGGTGTGAGCAGAAGAGGGTAGGGAGTCTCATTATCTTGACTCATTTGTTCTCACCTGGATGCTGGCTGTGGGAAAGATCCAGTGCTGGTTCTCGGTACTGTCTGCTGTCTTTTAGCTCTCAGGGGCTAAAATGTTGTCAGTTCTTATTGGAACCAGATTTGTGCCCAGTCATTTAAATTGTAAAATACATGGCTTCAGCAGGAGCATATTTCAACAATATGTTTGAGAACAGTTTACAAGAATATTTTTCTCCCTTTCCCTTGCTTCCCTCGTGTGTCATCGGATTCATAAGACATCATCAAAAACCCCTACCTTACCTGCACATGGAGAGCTTGTTTCCCGAGACTTTAAAAGCCACTAAAGAACTGTCACACATTCATTTTATTTTCGTGTTTTGTGCAGTAGAGATTGAAATGCTTAGCTTTGCCCCCAGAAGTTTATTATTTCATTGTAAAAGTAAAGTTGAGTGAACAGAGCTATTAATTCAAAAAGAAGGGCAAAGACTTCAACAACGAAATCAGAAAATTGCTCAGCTGAAGGGAGGTAGAGCCAGCTCTCCCTGGAAGCCAGCTGGAAGCCAGTTTTGCTCTGTAATGGAGTGGTGGGTCTCTGACAGCATCCTGGTGCCTCCTGCCTGTGACCTCCTCCAAGAGGTTTGACTTCTGCAAGGCTGTGTGTGGTGCTTTGTGCCCGATGGCTTTGAGCCATATGAAGCTGCTGTTGTGTAGCTTGTGGAAGCAGGAGGATTGGCTCTTCTCAGTCTCTGTGCTGCCAACTCCCTCCTCTCTGTGCAGTGCAAAACATGTTTCCTAGCTTTAGTCAAACCAAGACAATCTCAGTGGATGCAACTTAATATAGTGAAAAGAATCGTCAATTTTCACCATGTTCTTATCTTTAAACTTTTTTCAATTCTGGGTTTATGGAATTAGTAATTTTGACTAAAATGCATAGTATCACATTGCTATAACCTGTTTTTCACTCTGCCTGAAAGAAGATCTTCAGTGAGAATGGAAGAGAGAGAAAATGGGATCTACCTGTTTCCAGCTGGGAAAATGGACTGTTGGATGGGTGAAAAACATGATGGGCCACCAGGCTCACTGGGTCTTAATCAATGTCTCAAAGTTTATTTGGTTAACAAGGCACAAAACATAGACATGATTAATAAGACATGAAGCACTTCATGCAAGCAACTTGGTGATTCACACTGACCCTGATGCTCATCATATTTTCTGAGCTCTGCATGAGGAAATGGAGTGCAATTATAGAAAGCATGAGATAGCACTAAATTAATGGAAAGGAATCAAGAAGAATGCAAATGATTTTGAGGTTTGAAAGAGTTCAACAGAGGGATAAAAACTGCACAATGGAGCAGGATGATCCCCTGCACCAGTGGGCCTGAGTGTCTGAAAAGCCACTCTGTGAGAAAGGACCCAGGGCTGTGAAGGACAGCACATGGAATGTACCAGTCAAAATGACACACAGGGAACAAGGCAGGCTGCCCACTTGGCTCCATCAGTGGTAGTGTGGCTGGCAGATCAAGGGGAATCTATGTTCCCATTTGTGTAGCACTAGACATGGAGCTGTGGGCTCCCCAGCTCAAGAGGGATTTGGATGTACAGGAGAGGCTCCAGAGCAGAGCTCCCAAGGTGGTCAGAGGCTTTGAGGAGAGGCTGGGACCTATGAGCTGAGCTTGTCTGATGCAGTGGTGGCTTCAGGGTGGTCAGCCAGAGGACCACAGCTGCTCCAGAAGGGGTTGCAGGGATGACAGAGCCAAACTGCTCTCTGATACAGCATGAGGAATGCCCAACACAGCCTTTGTGGGAGTTCACATCGGTAATGAGCAAAACACTGGTTCAGCAGGGAAGCAGCGTGGCAGTGGAGCAGGGCCCCAGGGAGCACCATCCTTGGATGTTTTGAAGCTGTAGCACACCTGACCTAGCGTTAGTAGTAGTTGTGCTTTTTCAGAAAAGCTGGGTTAGGAACCAGCTTAGGAGCTGGGTTTTGATCTTGCACTTACTGAAGCCAGTAGTTAGGCACTGCCAACTGAAGGACTGGAAGCTTTTCCAGCTTCACCTTTTAGCCCAGCAGAAGTTTTTGCTGTTCCTCTTGCTCATGTGTAAAACAACTCTAAAATTATTTTATTGTGCTTGAACAGAGTGATATACCTGTTTTAAACTTTGCAAATCTTGGCAACAGATTGTCAGGTTGGGAGACTAAGGTTTACTGAAGTGCTAATGGCTTTTGAAGCAGGAGAAAAGCCTGCATATGGTGGAAGAGGCAATGAGGTGAAGGGGGTGAGACCTGGCCAGGGGAGAGGATTAAGAAGTAGATAAATGAGGCATAACTATAAGGAGGTGGGGTGTGCATGAAGCATAAATAGGAAAACCATTATTCTGAAACAATAGTGAGAAAATTGAAGGATTTAAGGCTTGTAAAAGGCTTTCTAGCCTCAAACTAGTATTTATGGCAATTGAGGAGAAGGACTTTTGTTCTTTTGCATATCAATTTTTAGAAATTATAGAAGTTCCTCTAAATTTGATAGAACTATTCATATGTAATGGCACGTTGCAGAGTTTCACAAGGATCTTGTGAAATACACTGCATTATCAGATCATGTGCATTGCGAGTCAGTGTTTAATGCTGGCTTGAGGAACTTATCCTAGAAATTTGCTTGTGGTTACTGAACATGAGACTTGTTGAGGTTTCTGAGTGCTGTGGCTCTCCTCTGGAAGGGCTGACGTACTCTGGGAGCTTTGCAAGGCTGTCAGATGGGAAGAGCAGGAGGGCTGAGGCTGCCTGGGAAAGGCAGTGGCTCAGCACCGTGCCCATGGCTGGGGCTGTGCTGAGAACTGGCGTGGCTGTGGCCCTGGCTATTGTGTGCCATGAATGGCTGCTTCATGCTAACCAGTCTGCAATGGCTATTTTTAATCCCAAATTCTAATATGTGGGTTTTAGAACAGTGCTTGTCTTAGATGTGAAAGAAACCACAGAGCAAGAAACTAAAGGGCTGTTTTGAAAAAGTCTGGAAGGGAAGCCATGCAGACTGGAAAGCTGCTCTGATAAAACCCAGCTTTCAAAAAAAAAAAAGGACATCTCCCAAAGAAAAGGGAA